AAAGCTTCAGATCTTTTTGCAAGGTGTTCCAGGATACAGGAGTGGAGTAGTAGAAGGGCTCTTTTGCAAAGGTCAGTCTGCACTGAGGGAACACTGCAAGTAATTATGTCCCGAGAGTGCACGCTGTAGCTGCATTCACGGAGTGACATGTAGAAGGAGATGTATGAAGGCAACAGACCAAGAAGCGATTTAAAGATGAACTTACCAGTGAGATAGTCTGTGTTAAGTTAATAATGACCAGTTAACCAGTGAATACAGGGTGCAGTGATGGGTATGGTAATCACAGCCAGTTATGAATTATAACGCACCGCGATAGACAGCGTCCAACATCTGCAAAGTGCTTGTAGGATCATTCATGTAAATCATGTCACCGTAGTCAATGGAGGGAAGGAATGTAGCAGTAACAAGGCGTTTCCTAGCATTCAGTTAGACAGGATCTATTTCTGACAAAGAAACCCAGTTATACTTTCAATTTCATTACCAAGGTTTCCACATGCAGCTTAAAAGAGAGATGTGAGTCGACCAAGATACCCAAGTATTTATAAGAACTGACAAACTCAATATGGATACTGTATTTATATAGAGCCTTTTTATCTTATCAGGATACTCTAAGTGCTTTACGCTACAATCTGTGTCCTCATTTACCCATTCATACAGCACTCTACTAGCTCTATATAAAGAATAATCAGTGCTTTTAGATCACATTCATACACCGATTGGACACGCATCAGAGGCAATGAGGGGTTCAGTGTCTTGCCCAGGGACACTTCAGCATGTGACTACTGGTGGAATCGAACCCCCAACTCTTGCATTGGAGGATGACTGCTTTAATCAGTCAACCACAGCCGTCCCAATAGCGACACCATTTGTAGATAAAATAGAAGGAAGGATTGCTGGTACCGACCTCCTGTTTGAAAACAAAATCCCTTTGGTTTTATCAGCATTTAGCACCAGTTTGAGACGGAACAAATCTGTCTGGATGATGCTGAATGCAGACTGTAAAAGCTGGAAAACCTTAGCAACTGGAGCTGAAAGTCACAGGTTCGATCCAGCCATTCCCACATGTTGTGGTGTCTCTGAGCAAGACACCTAATCCCTAACTGCTCCCAGGGTGCTTATATAACTGCCCACTGCTCCACCTGGGTGTGTCCCAGGTGTGATGGGTTAAATGCAGAGAACTAATTTCGCCATTGTATGGGAACATACAGTGATGACAACACATAGCACTTTACTTTACTTTACAACTGTACTAGCTCGACAGTAAACAACTGCGTTGTCAGCATAGAAATGTAAGGATTCATCAGGGATGAACTGATCTACATTAACAAAGTCATCAACAAAACTTTCAAATCAATTCTAAAATGAACAGGGAGGGAGTCACCGAAGTGAAGCCAGAACCAGGAAGGTAAGTTCATGCTCTTTTGTTCCTGTTCATTTTTTTGTCATTCAACCTTTATTTATACAGGTTAATCCCATTGAACCTCGGGGACTCATTTACAAGGGAAACCTGATTTTAACAGAGTGATGGCAACAGTGGACAACAAAGACAAGAATAGACAATCATAAAGGATGCATACAAATTGAGAATAACGTGAAAATAACATGGTATTATAAAAAGTAACAAAAAAAAAACAGCTGGGCTGTAAGGCAATGTAGAAAACTAAAAACAGGAACATGTCTGCATTGGTTTTTGCCATGAACTTAGCAGATGTTTAAAGACACTTAGAAAGGTCAAGGTCGAGAGCTTCATATCTTTTTGTAAGATATTCCAGGAAACAGGAGCAGAGTAGGAGAAGGCCCTTTTGCCTAGTTCAGTCCTCACTGAGGAAACACTGCAGGTAATGATGTCCTGAGAGCGCACGCTGTAGCTGCACTCACACAGTGACATGTAGGAGGAGATGTAGGAAGGCAACAGACCAAAAAGTGATTTAAAGATGAAAATGTACCAGTGAGAGAGTCTGCGTGAAGTTAATGATGTCCAGTTAACCAGTGAATACAGGGTGCAGTGGTGGGTACGATAATCACAGCCAGTTATGAATCTTAGTGCACCATGATAGACAGCATCCAACATCTGCAGGGTTCTTGTAGGAGCATTCATGTAAATAATTTCACCGTAGTCAATGAAGGGAAGGAAAATCGCATTTACAAGGTGTTTCAGAGTTAGACAGGATCTGTTTCTGAAAAAGAAACCCAACTGAACTTTCAGTTTCTTTACTAGGTTTTCCACATGGAGCTTAAAAGAGCAATGCGAATCGACCAAGATACCCAAATATTTATAGGAATCGACAAACTCAATACAGGCACCATTCGAGGATAAAATCAAAGGAAGAACTGCTGGGACCAACTTCCTGTTTGAAAACAGCATCCCTTTGGTTTTGTCGATGTTTAGGACAAGTTTGAGGTGGAACAAATCAGACTGGATGATGTCAAAGATTGCAAAAGCTGGAAAGCCTTAGCAACTGTTCTAGCTCAACAATAAACAACTGTGTCGTCAGCATAGAAATGTAAGGATGCATCAGGGATACTCTGACCTACATTACCTATGTAGATTGTAAAGAGGGTGGGTCCTAAGACTGAGTCTTGTGGTACACCATTGCTGACTGTTGAATAACTGGAGGAAGTACCATTATGTTGAACACATTGCCTCCGGTCTGAGAGATGGTTAGTGAACCAACCAACGGTGTGTTCTGAGAAACCAATTTCTGAGAGTTTATGACACAAAATTTCATGATCCACAGCGTCAAAAGCTTTAGACAGGTCTAAGAAAAGTGCAGCACAATAATCCTTAGCATCCAGTGCTTCAACAATGTCATTAAATAAAAGCAGATGGATGGGAAGATGAGATGTTAAATGAGCCCAAATAATTTTTGATTTGAAAGTTTATCAGTTTTTCTAGAACCTCGACTAAGATGCAGAGTTTAGAGATTAATCGATAGTTGTTCAGTGAGGTGGGGTCACCTCCCTTCAGCAAAGGTGGAACAAAGGCTGTTTTCCAGCATCTGGAATGGAGTTTTGGCTTATGGAAAGGTTAAAAATGTGGGACACCGGTACAGCGATGATATGATCGGCCAGCCTTAAGAAACAAAGTGGAAGTTCATCTGGTCCTGCAGATTAATTCAAAGACGAGCTGCAGCATGTTGAACTTACTGCAGTCAGGAGAGGCTGGCCTGATGAACACCAACATACAGGGTCACAATAATCCAATTGGGAGGCAAGAAAAAAGTGATTTATCCATTTAAAATTGATAACAGATTAAAATAATTTTGCCTGATATAAAAGCATCAGTTAAAAAATAATCTCTTTACTACAGAACATATTTGTTTCATAAAGTTAAAACTTAAATCAAATATCACCCCAAACTTTTTACAACACATTTTACAAACAGCTCCAAACGACTCAGATCAGCAGGAGAACATAAATGATCAATTTAAGGACGATGCATCACTCAGGTTCTGAGGTCGTTGCTGAATTTATTTAAGTCTTTGGGCCTCCACTTCTCCATTTTAAAGCAGTCAAAGTACAAGGGAAATAATGAGACCTTCAGGAAACTGTAGCACTCTAAAAGTTTATGAACCAAGTGTGGCTCAGTGGAACATACAGAACTCCAAAATGTTTCCCTCCTCTCTGTTTCTGTGAATGTTCAGAGATGCCTCTCACTGCACCCAGCTTTGCCTCTAAATGTACACCAACCGTGTGGATTCAGCCTTTACAGAAACATGTGAATCACTGAAAAGCTCTCCTATTTTTAGAACGAACCGAGAAGACGTACAGTGGGGAACACGTCCGTCCGTCCACTAGCCCCCTCCTCCTCCTCGTCCTCCTCCTCCTCCTCCTGGCCTGATTGTGTTCTTATACAAAGTCAGGAAACGGTGTGGCCTCTGAGCTGCCTTGTTGTGAGGAAACACGCTGCATGCTATGGGCTCAAGTCCAGAACCAAGCCTCAAAACACAACACGGGCCCATTCTCCACCCACAGCCCACTTACATCAACTGGGATTCAAACCATTAACACTCTGTTTCATTTGTTTTAATTAGCAACATTTCTGTTTTAGCTCACAGCGATAATATTCCATTTAAATATGTTTATGCCTCTATAAGGCCTCTGGTTTATAGATTTATTGAATAAATCACAAACAAATCAGATTAATAAATGTTGATTTTGTAGCTTTGTGTTGTGCAAGCCTGATGACTCTACTTTTATTTAAAAAAATTAATATGACAAAATGCTCTACAATATATATTTTTTTCATTTAGTCGTGGATATTTGTGTTAAATATCAAAATCCTCCATAAAATGCAAAAGATCAGTCAATAATTTTACTGTAAACTTGTAAATTTGTTAGATTCACTATAATATAACAACAACAATAATAATAACAATAATAATAATCATAATAATACTAATAATAGTTGATCAAGGTAGAAATATGTGGAAAAAATTAAATTTCTTAGAATTTAGATGCTTTTCAAAACCTTAAATATATAAATTATTAGCAAAACAGAATGCATAAAGATAAACAAAAAAAAAGGATTACATGCCATTTCTTATAAAACAGGCAAGTCTGTTATATTATTATTAATATTATTAAACCTATTTATCTGAATCAAGTGAAACAATTGAGACTTTCTTGCTATATAACTTACAATATTTGAGTAAAAACATAAATCAAAGACATACACACAAATGATATCATAGCTGAAAACACTGAATAATTTTCAGGGATAATCTGAGATAAAAAGACAGAAAATATCAAATTTATTCTCCAAACAGCTGAAGTTTGGTTGGATAAAGAAATTAAGTAAAAACTGCAGCTATCCCTCAGGAGAGGAGTTTTATTGTTTTTAAAAGGAGTTCATGTGGATTTTAGGCCCTGAGCTGCTGAAGGTGAGGGCTGGGGGCTCTGGGGGGGCTGGTCCTGACGCAGCTGACGCGGATCAGCAGCGTGATTGGGGCGCGCGCCAGCCTCCATCATTAATGGCCTAATTGAAAGGCAGCACGAGGAGGAGATAGGGAGTAGTTCACGGACTCGAGGAGAGAGAGAGCCGCTCCGATGATTAAAGTTGTCTCGTTCCTCCTCCTCTCACACAGTCCCACGGCTGAGGGTGTTCATGTGAGCGGCTGAGGCTCTCTGTTTCCACGCGCACTTCGTACCCCCCACCCCTCATCTGTCACCCTCACGAGCACCAAACCACCTTCAACACCTTTCTTTTTTTTAAAGTTTCTCCTCTCTTTCCATGAATGACTCTGTCTCGTTGTTCTACAACCTCGGATAGCTCCTCACGACCTCACCTCCTCGGCACATCTTCTTCTTCTCTGCTCAAGTTGAGAGCGCGCCACCAGGACCTTCACTGCGGCTCCAGGCGCGCGGGGGGCAAGACTCACGCGACGAGGAAAACCCTGATTCACTGTGCAGCCGCGGCCACCGTCGACATGAGCCTCAAAGCCGACTCGGAGCCCAACAACAGCGTTTCCATCGAGGAGGAGGTGAGTTTCTGGGGACCAAAGTTCGGGGTCCGACCCGGTTTTGGTTCCGGCTGCACAGGCAGGGTTCGGCTCCTCGCTGCGGTCCAGAGCGCACAGAAAGGAAAAAAGGTCAAATTAAACAGAAGCGGGTGTTGTGCTAAAGTTGGTGTAGTCTGAAAATGACGTCCTTTTTTAGTTAAATATCCCAGAGCTGCGTTTTTTATTTTTATTTTTTTTATAACTTTACAGAATAAATCTAAAAAAGACGTCTTTTTTTCTGGGGGAAAAAAATAAAATAAAAATAAAGTCCACATTTATCGTTTTTTAATTTTTTTTTATTTTATTTATTTGAAAAGACAAATCAATTTAAAAGTAGCTAAATTATTAGAAAAGGTATTAAATTTGTCAGTATTTAACACTGCTAAATTTACTTCTTTCTCCAACATTTTAAAATAAAGCCTTTTTACAAAAACAGTTTAAAATGACATTCACAGTATTATTTTTAATGAATAATGATCTTCTGCCTGTGTGTTCAGCTAGATCTCCTCTTTAATGACTCTTTATGGAGAGGAGCTGAAGGAAGCCGTGGGCCTTTTTTTGTTTGTCCTCTTTTTGTCCTTATTGTCTTCTGACAAAGCTGCTCTGGACACTTGACTTCTCTTTTCTTATTATTTGCTTGGATTTCCCCCTGTTTTTCTTGTAGTTTGATGCAAGTGAACCAGAAAATCTGGATAATAGGGGGGGGGGGGGGGGGGGATTTGCCTTTTTATCTTAAGATTTGATGTTTCCATTAAAATGATTTTAACTTAGACTTTATAACCTTGTGTTCACAGCTTCAGGTTCGAATGCACTTGTCGTCCGTTGATCGGCTGAAGGATAAATTCAAACACCTTCAGAGTGTGTGTCCTGCTGGGTTCACATTCAGTTGTTGTGTGTTGACGTGCAAAGAGCTGAGCACTGCTGCTGTGCGGCACCTGAAAAATGTCGGGAGGGCCGGCTGAGTCGGGGGCCCACTGGTCAGAGGAAGGAAATGGTGTCATGCTGTGCTCTGTTGTCCACTGTTGTCCCTCTGGCTGCTCCATTGTGCCGAGGACTAATGGGCCTCGCACCTCAGTTTAATTCACCCGCCACACCGGCCTAAAGGCTGTCCAAGTCTGGAGACCTTAAAAATTGACACTCCGCTTAGATGTTGACATTTTGAGGAGGGATGACACATTTTAATTTTATTCCAGTTTTACATTTCTAGTTTTTGAAGATAAAATTTTCAGTTTAATTGATTTATAGTAGGTTGTAATTTTGTTGACAAGGATTCTATAATTATAAACAAGGAATTTGCCCATCTTAAGTACAATAAATACGGTTTTGAATTTACATCCAGGCTAAACGGCATGACTCCTTAATTAATACCTCCAAATTTATTTTCAGAAATCTTTTGTCATTTTTTAGATTTAATCTTGTTGATGCATTAAACTACATGTGAATAAGTGTTTGAAAAACAGACATGTTTAAAAATAATAATAATAAATCATGCCTAAAATATTTTATTTTTTCCCTTGTGTGCAGGTACGGACTCTGTTCGTCAGCGGCCTACCAGTTGACATCAAACCACGGGAATTGTACCTGCTCTTCAGACCTTTTAAGGCAAGTTGAAGCACATTTATTTAAAGTCTGTGCTTGAAACTGACTGGTTTGATAAAAGGTGTTTGGTTTTTTTGGTAACTCAAAAAAAAAAAAAAAAAAAAAAAAACCTTTTGGAAAAGCCATGAAGTGTTTTTTGCAAATACACAGATTTGAGTTTAATACGTGTAAAATTGTTTTGTTTGTTCTCAGCTGAGGCTGAGGGCCACATATTTGCATATATGGAAATGAGGCCACATCATTGTTCATTAGATTTTGTTTTTCCCCTTGGACCTGCGTTCCATAAACACCCCTCCCACCCTTGTCCTAACTAACCAAATTGGAAGTGGTGTCCCTCTCACATGGATGGTCTTGTGGAATGTGTAAATGAGTAGCTCCTACAATTGGCCAACCAAGCCTGTCCGTGACCCAGCTCAGCCCGAACGCAGGAAAATGTCTTTTCCAAACATTTGCACGTTGTGAAACCGCTGAAGTTTCGAGCTCCTTCTGCAGAAAGTAAATACAACCAAATGTGTGCAAATCGTTTTGATCTGATTACATGTTCCATTCGTCCTCTCTCAAATAAACCTCTCCTTTTACAATAACTTATCAAAGTTGACTGTATCATAACATTTCCTTTATCTGAATCACTGAAGTTATTTCTGTTGATGTTGACCAGGATTTATTATAAGCACTCAAACCTTGTTGGGTTTTATGTGGCTCTAAATCAAGAGCAGGAGAAATCCCATCTTTCAGTTACCTGTCCAGACAAAATTCCTGTAATTTCCCAAGAATGTACTCGTGCTTTTCCACACATACTCCTGTTTTATACCTCTGTTTGCCTGGTTCGGGCATCGTGCCTTATCTGTGCTTGAACCAGTGCATGTATTCAATGGCATGTTTGCATCATTCAGCATTGAGTAATCAGAGGTGTGCCTTTTTTATCGGAAACATGTAATCTGTGTTTAACATCAAATGTCCACATTACTGTCACAGATGGTCTCAAACTGATGGTGCAAAGAGAATTTGGCTTCATATTGTGAGACGTTCATGCTTGACTTCCTTCATGTGACTCCAGGATGGATAATTGGCTGTCTTTTTCTCCTGCAGGGTTATGAAGGGTCACTGATTAAGTTAACGTCAAAACAGGTGAGGAACACTCCATCAGGATCCAAAAGTGTTCTTGTTAAATCTCTTATTGTGGTGGTTCTGGCTTTATAATTACACTAAATTGTATCGCTCTGTTGCATTGTTAAAAGAATCTAAAGTTGGTTCATTTGTGTTTATGCACTGCCTCCATTTGTCTTTCAGCCTGTTGGGTTTGTAACGTTTGACTGTCGCTCTGGAGCTGAAGCTGCAAAGAATGCACTAAATGTAAGCACAAACTACCCTTTTTGCTGATTAATTCCTTTTTATCTTTTGTTCCCAAATCTTATTGAATGTTAGTTCTGTTCTAACCTGTTTAATGCCATAAATTCTGGGTCTTAATTTAACAAAAGATTCATCTCTCCCATTGAAACTTCTGAGCCAACCCATTTTGTCTCTTACAATTCAATGGCAGGGCCATTTTTGGAAAGAGGCCAGAATCCTGTAGCCTTACGGTAGTTTACTTTGACCTTGATACACATCCTTCTTAGTCTGACATAGCTTTCCTCATTTTGCATATCACTGCTTTACTGTCATACTTGTTCTAAAGCCACAATAGTGTTATTTGAACACATCTTCAGTAGTGTAACCTCTTATGTTTTCACCCAGTAGCCCACGTTGGCAGTATCTAACACTTTCCTCTCATAGCTTAGCATTCCTTTTGAGCATCACCTCTTAGACACACCAGCGTTCACACACAACAAACACACACCAGAATACTACTCACCTGCATGTGGGCACAATGCTTAGGGCACAAGGACACAAGCAGGGTTAAACCACCTAAAGAAAATAAACACTTGGTTTCACAATCGGGCCCCTTTCCTCGTCTCCTCCTGACCTGAGTGAGGGCTGAACTTCAGTCACCTGCGCTCTTGATTTTTGAGGAAACGGAGACGTAAGCATGCAGAAATATTTCAGCGTATCCTTCAGTCTGCCCAGCTTCTTCAACAGCAGTCAGCTGGGGATGGTGAGTTTTACCATCCCACAAGGGAAGCTTGAAGGATGCAGCCTGATTATTGAGGCACTGCTTTAGGAAACAAGGCCTCGTGAGACCGCTGAGCTACAGCCCCCCCATAAACTCGGCTCCCTTATGATGTTCAACCTCCTATCTCTCCTCTCAGGGTATCCGTTTTGACCCCGAAAGTCCCCAGACCCTGCGCTTAGAGTTTGCTAAAGCCAACACGAAGATGGCAAAGAGTAAGCTGATGGCCACACCGAACCCCACAAATATCCACCCCGCTCTAGGAGCACACTTCATTGCACGGGACCCATGTAAGTTGTTCAGCTGCACCACTCTAGGCTCTCATCCACTCTCACGCATTGCTCAGTGAACCTTGTAGGCCTCTTTAAAACCTTTAAGATGTTTTGGTATTATCAAACGGGTCGGGGGTTAAAGCGGTTTCTAATAAACTGAGGACTAACTCACCTTCACGTGCATGTCATCCTGATTCTTTAGACGGTCGCTTTGCTTCCATTCAGCTGGGAAATTCACTTGCAGTATTTGGTTTAACGGTGGCATCTATTTGCCTGAATTTTTGTGGTATTTATTGGGTTCAACAGGTGGGGGTTAAAGGTAGTGGAGCTTCATTAAAGCCAGATTTTTCTTGGTTGTACTGTATTTACTAAAGCTGTGTGGCAGAGGGCACGAGAAAGGGGAAACTTGGCTGGGTTAACATCATCCATTAAAGTATACAGTAGTCCCTCAATTATTGCGGGTGTTGCGTTCCACACACACCCACGATGGGTGAAAAACAAAGTAACAATGCTATATTTGAGTATTTATCTATAAAGGCTTTATAAACCTTTCCCACACTCTTGAAATGTTCTAAACTCTTAAACCTACATAATTTTAACATGCGTATATGTACTGCAAAATTTTACTCGCAGCTCTGCAGGACGGCAGCTTTGTTCAAGTCCGGCTCGGTTCTGGTTCGGCAGACCTATCCTGCGGCGATGAACCGCCCTGTCCAGGTTGACGTGTGCATGTATAATTGAGCTTCAGGATTATTTGCGACTTTCCTGCCAGTTCTGTGAGCTTAATAGCCTAGATTTATGCTGAAAAACACTCCATTTCGACAAAAAGCAGCAGCCAGAAGCACGATTGGCTTCTGGGTAGTGTAGTTTTTTTTTTTTTTTTTTTTTTTTTTTTTTTTTTTTGACTGACCTTACAATATATGCTTAATGAAAAAACTACAAAATGGTGGTGCCTGTCCAAAATTTTTTTTAATTTTTTTTTTATCTCATACTGACCCAATCACATGAGTAATGTTAAAGTTGACAATAGTTGAGAAAACGCGAAAGAGCAAGTCCAAAAGTCAAACTGCGAAGTAGCGAGGTGTGTGTGTGTGTGTGTTTTTGTTTTTATTTTTGTGCACCTAAATGGCAAAAACTCTATTCTTGTAATTTTGTAACGATATGTAATGGTCAACCCTTCTGCTTTCAAGTTGGCTGTTTTTTGGAGTGCTTTAAAAAAAAAAGTATTTGTAGAAGTGCAGTTATAAATGAATAAACAAGGAAACGGTTCTGTTAAATATATTTCAGCAGCAGTGCAGTCTGATAGAATTGCAGCCCTGTTTTGAAGCTCAAACACAATTATCAAACCAGTTTGCATTCTGTCTCTACTTTGATTACCTGATTAAAGCCTATGCATCGGTCAACTTTTCCCTCCCACCCTGTGCTTCTCAGATGATCTGACAGGGGCAGCACTGATCCCAGCATCACCCGATGCCTGGACTCCTTACCCCCTGTATACCACGGAGCTGACCCCAGGGCTCCCCCACGCTGCCTTCACGTACCCGGCAGCCGCTGCTGCAGCCGCAGCCCTCCACGCCCAGGTGAGGGAGCAACCGGTGTGTTCCTCTTTTAAGCAACTTTCAAATTGCTGACATTACTGCACTGCCAGCTTTTTTTTTTACATGGACTTAAAGTAATACTATAAATCACGCCTGGGTGATGCTGGTGCAGAAGTTTTCTGAAAACCCTACATTTTCGTTCATTCTAAAGCGGAGTTGAACTGCTGAAATACCCAGCATCCTGTTTTAGATGCTTTGACTCTGAAGTTCAGCTCCTCAACCCATCAAATCTGAGTCTCTGCACAGTTTGTTCCCAACCTTGATGCAAACCAGACAGCTGAAGTTTAAACCCTGAGCTACGATGGAAGGAAAAGGTCTTGATGTAGATCTGTCTTAAAATGCCATATTTAAATTCCTCTTTGTGGTTTTATGTGACGCTTTGTTCAGACACTCAGTAATTTTTCATTTTTAATGGAGCTCTGTGCCTTCAGAATAAAAGATGCATTTGTTCATAAACATCTAAATCATGAAATGACATTATCTGATCTTAGTTAGAAAAGTCTGTTTACTAGCTAGCTGCTTTGTGTGGACTCAATTAAATTAAAACAAGTTTCACTTTGCAGGTTACAGCTAGACCAATAAATGTGTATACAGCCATAATTTACCGTCTACATGCAGTGATGGTACGGCAGCTATGAAGACCTGGGCTGGACTTTTTGCAACAATAGCAATGGAACATATTTTTCTTGTTGGGTCATTTAAAGTTCATTGCCAACCAACTTCCTCCTTCTGTAAAGAGCATGGAGTAGTGCTGCTGAACAAAGCGTGGCTCGTTTTTATCTGACAAGAGGCTGAGGAATGTTGGGTATTTTCTTGGAGACGCTGTCAGACCCGAGCCTTCTCCTGAGGTGCCACCTTGCTTTCCAGCTTCCAGTGGAACATAAGCTGACTGGGTAGGCGGCCAAGGAAAGAAAAAGCTTTTTAATTGCATTGTGATGAAAGATCCTGGATACTCGGATCTCCAAACACTCTTCCACTGACTCTTAATCACACAGCAAAGGTAAAACGGTCCACGTCTCTGAACGACTGCTGATAGAATTCAGTTTTCTTTTCACCGACTACTTTAAACCCATCTTTGCCGTGCGGTTTATTGACAAATATGGAAGGGTAAACTCGTACCAGCTCAGTGGGAATGTTTACTGCACAGAGACGTTCAGTTCTCCACGTCTCCATGCCCGTTAATTACTAGAGGACAATTGTCCTCAATGAGCAGCTGACCCACATTCCCATGGCTTTCAGTGACCACGGCTTAAAGGGACAGTCCTCCTAAATGCGCCAGGAAAAGCTCATGCCAAGTAAAATGATTGAAACCTACAGGACTGAGGATTGAAGCTCCGGGGCCCGGTTTTGGTCTGGTGAACATAACATATGTTTGTGTCTCTTTAGATGCGCTGGTACCCTACTCCCTCTGAGACTTCCCAGCCTGGATGGAAGTCCCGGCAGTTTTGTTAGATATTTAGTGAGTAACTTTTTGTCGGTGTTCATCTTGTAGATTTGACAGAATTCCCCCACCCTTTATTCTTTAGCTTGATGCCTCAGAGGCTTTTAGTTTGAATTATGTCAATGCAATTTTATGAAAGTGAAAACTCCTGAAACTTAAAAGGAAAATATTTACAGGTGATGGTCATAAAATTAGAATATTGATTTTTGTAAAAAAAAATGTCCCCCCTTTTCAGTAATTCCATTCAAAAAGCAAAACTTGTATATTCATTACACACTAATGATATATTTCAAATGTTTTTCTTTTAATGTTCATTATAACTGACAACTAATAAACCCCAAATTCAGTATCAGGAAAATTTTAAATTAAGACCAAATTAAAAAAATTGTTAATGTTGACGGACTAAAGTATGAACATGAAAAATATGAGCATGTACAGCATCAATACTTAGTTGAGGCTCCTTGTTGCCTGGATTGCTGCAGCAATGCAGCGTGGCATGGAGTCGATCAGACTGTGGCACTGCTCAGGTGTTATGAGAGCCCAGGTTGCTCAGATAGTGGCCTTCAGCTCTTCTGAATTGTTGGGTCTGGTGTATCACATCTTCGTCTTCACATTACCTCATAGATTTTCTATGGAGTTGAGGTCAGATGAATTTGCTGGCCAACTAAGAACAGGGATACCATGGTCCTTAAACCAGGTACTGGTAGCTTTGGCACTGTGTGCAGGTGCAAAGTCCTGTTGGAAAATGAAATCTGAATCTTCATAAAGTTGGTCAGCAGCAGGAAGCATGAAATTCTCAAACTTCCTGGTAGATGGCTGCGTTGATCTTGAACTTCAAAACACAGTGGACCTATGCTAGCAGATGACATGGCACCCCAAACCATCACTGACTGTGGAAACTTGACACCGGACCTCCAAGCAATGTGGATTCTGTGCCTCTCCTCTCTTCCTCCAGACTCTGATTTCCAAAGGAAATGCAAAATTTACTTTCACCAGAGAACATAACTTTGGACCACTCTGCAGCAGTCCAGTCCTTTTATTTATTTATTTATTTTTTTTTTAGTCCAGACGAGACTCTTCTGATGCCGTCTCTTGTTCAAGAGTGACATGATGCAAGCAATGTAACAGCTGAACCCATGTCTTGCATATGTCTGTGCATGGTGGTTCTTGAAGCACTGACTACAGCTGCAGTCCACTCTGTGAATCTTCCCCACATTTTATTATTTATTTTTTTTCCCCTTTACCACGTTTCCTTCCTTTCATCTCTCGTGCTTGGACACAGCTCTGAACAGCCAGCCTCTTCAGCAATGACCCTTTGTTTCTTGCCGTCCTTGTGCAAGGTGTCAATGGTCGTCTCTTGGACAACTGTCAAGTCAGCAGACTTCTCCATGATTGTGTAGCCTACAGAACTAAACTGAGATAATTTAAAGGCCTTTGCAGGTGTTTTGAGTTAGTTGACTAGTAGCACCAGGTGTCTTCAAAATTCAACCTTTTCACAATATTCTATTTGAAATACTGAATTTGGGGTTTTCATTAGTTGTCGGTTACAATCATAAACATTAAAAGAAATAAACATTTGAAATATATCAGGCTGTGTGATGAATGAATATAATATAAAAGTTTTGCTTTTTGAATGGAATTACTGAAATCAACTTTTTTTTTTTTTCATGATATTCTAATTTTTATGTCCATCTGTATATTTTAAAGTTTCTTGTCTTTGTCCTTAAATCCCATTTTCATGAAAAAATATAAACCCTATTTTACTAAATGATCCATTAAGCACAGCTGTACACCTTTTTTTTTTTTTTTTTTTTTTTTTTTATCAAAACATTGCTCCGATCCAGCCTCAATTTTAAATATTTGCAAGACATTAATGCTCATTAAGAGAATAGACCATGTATCCTGATAAGTCTGCTTATGTAAATAAAAATTTGATGCTGCTGTTTTGCCATACTTGTACCAAAAAACAAACACGTTTACATTTTGTGTCTGTAGAGGTGTTTAAGGCTTTAGTAAACATTTGAGAACTTAAACGTTAACACTAAGTGGACGATTTCTCCCCCCACCCCCAGAACAAGTGTCACTCTTGATACTTCATACTGTTCTTTGTCTGGAAACTACTTAACATTCTTATTGATAATGGGTTATTTTTAAAAGCAACGCTATCGGCGAATGGATAAGCTGGTTCACCAGGCTGGTGAGGACGGTCCATCGATGTTAATAAATTACATTTACACTGACGGGGTTTGAATCAGCTGGCTTCAGTCTCTGTGATGTCGGAAACTAATCTAATTTTTTATAATTTAGCTGTCAATCGTCTGTTTGTATTAAAATATTTATGCACTGTTTCAGACTAACTCTTGTTTCTGCTGTTCTTTTCAGGCCTCTGGAAACCACACCTTCATCCAGCTGAAGTGAGGTTTACCAAGCTCTTCATTTAATTTAATCAAGTTTATTTAATGGACAAATGTGCATTATTAAACAGTATTTATCTCCCTCCTGAGGACCCCGGGGGGGAGTTGGAGTTAAAACCCATCTTGCTGTCGACAATCTAAACATGTCCTTGGTGATTCTTGCGGTACCATCAGCACTTAAAAAAGAAACGATCTTTGTGCAAACCTGTTAGATTCCTAATTACTAAGGAAAATTGATGTTTTGAAGTTGGTGTAAAGTTGGTCCCTTCAGGGGTCACCGCTGCACCAGGGAGGTGTAGAGCTGTTCAGTCTTTGCATGTTAGTCTTTTTGGCATGAATTTAGAACGCAGATTTCTGTGTATCCTAATTTTCTTAGTGTTTGTGTTGCCTTTTGACCTAGACAGCAAAATGTGTTTTTTGTTTTTTTTCTTCTGTTCTGTAGAACCTTGGTCTTACCTCTAAGCTAGGCTGTTGTGTAAATGGCTTATCTTGCATGGACCTCGTGAATGCTTCCCTACATTTGGACAATCCCAGGCCTCATAATATCCGTCTTTATTTGAGCAAAAAGTGCAAATTATTTGTGCTTTTTGCATATAATGTATATTTATGCATTTTTGTGCGACTAAATGAACCTATATAAGTTGGATGTTTAGTCGTCTCTTGTGTTTGGTGTTCATTTTTTGATCCTATAATCCTGTCGAAGTAGTTTTAAAGAAAAGTGCAATTTGTTTAGAGGGGAAGTTGGTATCTGTCAAAAAATGGAAGTATTCTGAACTTGTGCTGTTATGCTAAAATGAGATTGCTGTGAAACTAGACTACAAATGTAAAGGGTTCTTTTTTGGGGGTGGGGGTGGGGGGGGTGGACTTCTTGAAAAGAGTAGCAAGATTAGACTGAAGGAATTTAGTTTGGTTAAGAACCCGTTTGTCTCTGTATCTGCTGTGCATAAGATGTTACAATCCTCGTCTTATGAATAAAAGAAGTGAATGCATTCCTGTGTTGGGACTTCTGGTCATTTTATTGCTGCTGCTGCGGCGGGTTGTCGACCAATCCAAGCTGAAATTCCAGAGTCTGTAAGTCGACGAGCTAAAGACGTCAGATGTTGGCATCAATAATTCATGCAAACTTGTCATTTGTAATGCACCACTGCATTGGTGAACCCCTGCACTGTTTGTGAAGCTGACCTCCACTCCGCCCTCTTGAGTTGATGAGACGCTCTGCTCAGTCAACCGGAATTGTCCTCCTGGGACTCAAATGACTGTTCCAGTGTAACCAGTGGCCTCTGACAGCCATGGTGCTGGTCAGCTGCAGAACAGTTGGCCATAATGTCCCAACCATTGTGTACAGAAGCACATGTAGCAGATGATGGCTTCTACATCCAGTCACTGTTACTCTATAAAAGACTTGGACTTTATCAATAAACGATCTTTAAAATTTAAGGATTGTTCGGTTGAACTGACTAAATTTTGATTAGTTTGTGACGAGCATAGATACTAAATCACTGTGGATGAATATAAACTAAATGCAAACCAAATTCATATCTTGTTAAAACTAATGACTTGGTTTTTAGGTGGTTTTACTCAAATTGAGGTGTTGTGTTCTCGTAAGAATCTTCATCTTGTTCGACATTTCCAAATTGCTCTAAAAATAAAAACTGGCTCTTAAAAGATACTTCAACTGAAGCTTAAGGTCAAGATTTAACCATTTGCCCTTCATAGAAAAAATGATCACACTCAGAGGAAATTTGAAGCGACAGGAAATCAATCAAGAGCAAAAAGATGGGAATCCTACAGAAAAGAAGGAAACGTCTCTGCACTTCGAGCTGTGAACAACTGGGTACAAAATTTATAAACTCGTAACCAAAAAAGGTTTTATTCTATTCACTCAACTGAATACAAGAGCCCTTAAATGTATAATGTATACTGTGTTCATCCATTCTAGACTACAACATATATTTAACAGCCTCGTTTATTTTTCACGAAATAAGGCAAGTTAAGCATGTTCATGTAACTGAATATGAAAAAGGGTTGTGGAGGAACAGATCTGTGTTTTCATTTTTCAGACTTTATCGTCCTCTACTGGTCAGAGCTCTGAAAACAGCTGCAGGAGATGAAGGCACAAAGACATGGATTTTATTAGATGTAAAATAAACCTGTTTTTACTGGAGCATACACCATGACCCAAAACCAGATTAAGCAATCCCTTGAGCTGGTTTCACAAAAGTAACACATAGGTTAGAGTTATTAGTCTGGTCTGGAGGACTTGGGTGATCCTGAAGGAAAATGGATGTTAAACACACACTTTATCACTACCAGTTACTCTATATCAACATCTTGATAGAAAAGTAAATTTGTTAAATTTGTTTTTCATTTCCTTCTCTGGTCACAGAAGAATGTGCTACATAAAATATTTTCACAGATTTGCAAATTTAAACTTGACAGTTCTTTCAAAAAGCACAATTCTTTCAATTTCAAGTTTATTTGTCATATGCAGGTCAACAGTACAATGACATGTTCAGGATGAGGAGAACTGATTTGACTCTATAAAATCAAAAGAACAAGAAATACTAAATCATGCAATAAGAGTACAAAAATAAAGTACCAAAAAGTGAAAAAGTAATTATACTTACAAGGTCCTAAAGAGAGATGGTAAACAACATGGTATAATATAACTTTGCTGCAGGATGAATTTGTATGGAAAAAGTATTTCAAGGTAGTAATATATATCTTTGTCAGAATAGATAATTTGTTTAAATGATTATTTTAACTTATTACAACTGGTTTGTCTGGTGGCTTTTAATTCCTGTTACTGCTTCTGTCTCTGAATCACAGCAGATATGTCACTAATAAAGAAAATATTTCAATAAGTCAAATTAAGTGACAGTTTTTAGTGGAGCGTAATGGGAACGTCAGAGAATCCTCTGACCAGACTTCTTTAGATTTTTCTACCTGGATTATTGAGCATGCATCAGGATGTCAGAGAATCTTGTATGTAAAATAATCTGATTAATAAAACTAATTTTAAGACACCCTTTGAATTCTGCCACGCTAAACAAAACAATTTTGTTAAATTAAATTTGGGATTAAAATTGCTTTAAAACAAACCACCTCATATTTCATTGCATATATAATTTTAATTAAAAAGGTTATTCACTTTAACTCTTTGGTGCTTGGACCTAAATCGTATAGACACTATGATCAATACTGTATATTAGACGAGCTCTGCATTTATAATAAACCTGAACTGCAGCACAAACTACACCAGAAGTTGTTTGGTGACTTTACACACACATAAAACTCCTCTGACTCACCCCATCAGACTGCAGCAATGTTTTCACTGCTGCCTGTCAGAATGAATGAAGATTAAAAACACAATCTTTTTAAAACCCAGTTTACTTTGGAGACTTTGGATTATTGAAACCTCAATTATTTGTTGCTTATTTTAAATGAGTTTAAAGATGTAATTTATTCATAACGGTTAATCTGACATCAACCTCTCATTTGAAAAGAGCGTGGTGGGGGTGGGGGGCACTCAGCAGGATTACTTCAACTAGTTAGTTTTTTAGTGTTTGTTTTCAGTATTTATTTCATTTTGTCACATTCTGTCCTCCATAGTTCTGAGATTGTGAAGATGCTGAGGACAGGATGCTCCCACAAGGCTCGGTCAAACCCAGCTTTCTTCTCTTATCCTGGACTGGTCAATTGTCCTTTTGTGAAACATCCCTCAGGGATTATCATTTAAAAGCAACACGTAGTGTAATCTGTTTCACTTGACCTGGAGTGGCCAACAAGTCATTCACTTTAGGGCTATTCAACTAAACTGCTCAGGGGGTCACAGTTACTGAAAGCAAAGCGCTCAGGGGCCAGACATCCAGCAGTTATTGTCATTAAGTAAGTTTGTTTGATGGTTTAAAATCTGGTTTTATTTAAACTGAACTCATTGGAATCCTGTTAGGCTGATGGTCCTTCTTGACCATGTGAGCAGCTGGTTTTGGTTGTCAGCAGCAAACTGGTTGATCCACTCTGAGAAGGTGCTATTTATAATACTGAGCTGAAAACAGCACCTCAGACTGAGGAAGTCTTTCGGAAGAAAGACGAAACGTTTCTACATTTTTTATTTGTTTTGCTTTGTTTTGTTTTTTGAATGTCCAGAGGACAGACTTTTTTTAGATTAACTCATTGGTGGGTCGGACTGAGCACATCTGTGGGCCTGATTTGGCCCCTGGTTCACTAGTTGAATAGCTTGGCTTTAACATGTGGTCTTTTTGATTCTGACTTGAGTTTAAAACCACCAAACTAGCTTTCTGTAGCCACAAAAGGATTTTTTTTTTTAAACAAACTGAACAGTTTCATAATAAAATGTTATCTGGTTTAATTCATTACTTGATTAAAATGATTCCGAATCAGTAGAACCTTTGAGTGGACTGTAATGTAAACAGTTTGAGTAAAAGATCCAGGCTCTTGGACCAGTTCTGGATCTCAGGGCTCAGTGGGCATTTTTAAAGAAAGTGTACACAAACAAGCACATGCAGTGAAGTTGTAACCTTCTGTAAAACATCCCAACATGAAACAAAGAGGCGAAACACCATGAAACGTAGGAGGAAGCCTGGCTCCTGAGTTAGTGGGGACTCTGTCTGCTCTGTGGTACAGACCCAGAGTCCTGATGACTCCTAACTTGTGCACACACACCAGGCTGAAGGAGAAATCCCACACAAGACAGGCTCTAGAGACCAATGTGGATATCCTAACTGGGCCTTCCTGAAAGCAGAGAAGAAACCCAAACAGGACTCCAGTCAGCCAACAGGTGAAAAGGAGGAACCCAGACCCAGACCAGTGGTCATTCTGTATGTTCAGGGAGTATCAGAGAAACTGAGACGTTTATTTTCTAAACATAACGTCCTAGTGCATGGCTTTCTAATCCCAAAATACATTACGGCAAAGACTGGTTCATCCCAAAGATCCAGTCCCCCGGCACAAACAGAGTAATATTGTGTATGCTGTTCAGTGTCAGGAGGGCTGTGATCAGTCTTACATCGGGGAAACTAAACAGCCACTGGCCAAAAGGATGGCCCAGCACAGAAGATCAACATCATCAGGCCAGGATTCTGCGACTATGAGAAGGTACTGTTTTTGTTCAGACTGAAGAAGTCAGACAGACTTCTTCCCTGTTTGGTCCTAAATCCATTCTTAAAACCCATCTCTACTCCCTGGCCTTTGACACCATCTGAGATAATGACTTTTAATAATTTTAATTGCTTTTTATTATCTGACTGTATGATTGTTTTGTTGTGTGTACAGCACTTTGGTCCTGTGGGTGCTTAAAGTGCTCTATAAATAAAGGTGGTATGGTAAGTCTTTGGGATAAAAAATGAAACATTTCAACAAAGAAGAATCCGTCCAGAGGACCTGACTTAACCTTGTTAGCCTGATGCATGTTCAATAATCCAGGTAGAAAAATCTAAAAAAGTTCAATCTGGTCGTCTGGACATAAAAAAAAACCCAGAACAAAGCAAAAAAATTGTAGAAACGTTTCATCCTTCATCCAAAAGACTTCTTCAGTCTGTCAACAAGGAAGAGGGCCGGCAATGGAGGAGGGGTGTGACAAAGACACCATCTTAGCACCAACATAACTGGTTTGTTCCACTTTGGAGTAAGTTGTTGGGGGAAGAATCAGTTTTGTGTTGTGTTTCCTTGACTGAAGAAGCCTTCTGGATCAAATGCAAAACGTTTCAGCAAAAAAAAAAAAAAAAACTGTCCAGATGACCTGACTGAAAAATGTTGGATTGTATACCTTGATTATTGAGCATGGACTTTGTTGTTTTCCTCAGTCTGAGGAGCTGTATTCAGCTCAGTCTCTTAAATAGCACCTTCTCAGAGTGGATCAACCAGTTTTGCTGCTGACAACCAAAACCAGCTGATCACATGCTCAAGAAGGACCATCAGCCTAACAATGGATCATTAGCACACTGATGGCTGTTTACTATTCACAGAGGGCTGAGTGATACTAGCAATCACAGCATTGTAAGAGGGGGACAGTTGAACACGGAGGCCTCCACCCCTGTTTAATGATGGATGGTTTCTTTTCACAAAGATGGCCTCCTTTAACCTTGTTAGATTTTTCTACCTGGATTATTGAGCAGGGCAGCACAGTGGCGCAGTTGGTAGAGCTGCTGCCTCTCAGCGAGCAGGTCAACCTGGTTCAAATCCCGTCCGGGAGCCTTTCTGGGTGGAGTTTGCATGTCCTCTCCGTGCTACGTAGGTGTTCTCCAGGTACTCTGGTTTCCTCCCACAGACCAAAAACATGCATGTTAGACTGATTGGTAACTCTAAATTGTCTCTAGGTGTGAGTGAGAGAGTGAATGATTGTTTGTGTCATTTGTCTCTATGTGTCCCTGTGATGGACTGGAGACCTTGTGTCCCCTGCCTCTCGCACAGTGATGGTTGGACATGGGCACCAGTGACCCCCACAACCCGAAAAGGATGAAGCGGGTAAAGATAATGGATGGATGGATGGATGGATGTCCAAGTGTAGCTTATGTGGGAAGAAAAAGAAAAACACAGGTTAATAACAGCATTGGGGTTCATGAGGAATAGGATGAGTAAACTAAAGGATGGTTCAGGAAACCCAAGCCAAATCCAACTAAAAAAGGTCACTCTTAAGCCTAGTCAACCTTTTAAGTTGATTCCACATAAAAAGGTCACTGATCACTGAAAACACTTTTAGAGACTCTAACAACTATAAGTAAACCTGCAGTTTGAGAGTAAAGAGCTCTGTTAAGAAAATATGGAACAATAAGACCTATTTTTTTAGACAACAGAGTTCTTTATGGAGTGCCCTGGATAGAGAAATGTTTAATGAGTGATTTGAGACAAAAGAATGGCAGCAAAGATCAAAGGAAAGATTTACAGATTTTTTTTTATTCAACCTTTATTTATACAGGTTAGTGTCACTGAGTCACGAGGACTCATTTACAAGAGAGACCTGTTTACAGACAACAATAAACTACAATAAAATGCAATAAAAAAGTAGTGTTTTTTAAGTGACTTAAAAAGTGAGACCAGCTGTTGTATGGTCTGGAGACAGTGGCATTGACAAAAAGACAGGAGAAAGAACTGGAAGTGGCAGAAATGAAGATGTTGAGGTTCTCCTTAGGAGTAACAAGGATGGATAAGATTAGGAATGAGATAATCAGAGGTACAGCACAGGTTGAACAACTGGGAGATAAAGTTGGAGAGACCAGACTGAGATGGTTTGGACATGTCCAGAGGAGGGACAGTGGGTATATTGGTAGAAGGATGTTAGAAATGCAGCTGCCAGGAAAAAGACAAAGAGGAGAAACATGGATGCAGTTGGAGACATGGAGGTAGTTGGAGTGAGGACAGAGAGATGAGGAGGATATTGATGTCACAGGTTACTGCCTCTGAGAAGAACGTGTTTTGTTGGACACAATACAATAATTTAAATAATGATAATAATTTTTGAAAATACCACAATTCTCATATGTTTAAAACCCCAAAGTGTTCTCTTGTGAACATGCGTTTTAATCGTCTGGTCACGTGATTCAGTTTCTATTTGCGCGGCGTGCTTTTGATGTCGAGCACGTGAGCAGACGGAGGCCCTCGAGGCGCATTGTCTCGCACACGTTTCCCAAATTAAGATTAATTAGCTGCTAGCAGATGTGATAAATATGAGTTGTTATTCCAGGCCCGCGTCGTTTTTTGTGACCTTTCTTTTAGGCTGACTGTCCACATCTTCATCATGGCGTTTTCCCTGGTGAGTGAAATTAAAACAAAACTAAATAAATAAATAAATTAGGCCATGTCAGAAGTTATTACCTAGAGTTTTTATACAACCAACGACGCTTCGCACTCACAAAGTCCCAACTAAAATACCAGCAAACGAAAAACAAAATAATTTCCGCCCCTTCGCATCATGAATTTATAGTTTAGCATGGGTTCAGGCTAACGTCCCTCGGGTTTTGCGGCCTCTCTTCCTGCAGAGAAACGATGCCCGCAGGCCTGGAAGCCCTGACGGTGAGTCCCCGGCCCTGTCCACCTGCAGCAACGCAGACATCTTCCGCAGGATGAACACCATGCTGGGCAACGCGCTGGACTTCACCGGCGTGTGCACCACTCCCAACAGCTCCAAGCAGAAACCCGACCTGCTGTCAGGTAACAAAACACCTGCTCCTGCCTCACAGACGACAAAACACTCTGCGAACACATCTGTCCAAAAAAATCTGTCGGACAGAGCCTGCGAGCCTGGGATAGCTCTAAAAACCAAGTGTTTACATGTATTTTACTGCTTATAAAGCTCTAAATATTAAATTTTACTGCTTATAA